TTCTAACGGAAATTTTGACAATTTTGACTTAGGAAGCATTACTGCTCCCAAAATGGAATTTTTACAGAATTCATTAATTGACATGATTTCTGATATGCTTAAATCTAACTCCATGTTTGATGCTATTCAAACTGGAGTAAAATTTGCTAATAATATTGTCATGACTTTAAAATTCAGTAATGGATTTTAAAGCATTAAACATTTTAAATTGGAATGCTCGATCTCTTAAAGATAATGAAGACGAGCTATTTAATTTTTTGAGAGTTCATAACGTGCATATTGCCGTTATAACTGAAACGTTCCTTAAACCTGACCATAAGGTTAAGAAGGACGCAAATTACTTGATTTATAGAAATGATCGTCTTGATGAACCCTGTGGTGGCGTTGCCATCATTATTCATAGACGAATCAAACACAAAATACTTTCTTCATTTGAAACGAAAGTTTTTGAAACTTTGGGAGTTTCTGTTGAAACAAAATTTGGACAACTTACGTTTATAGCTTCCTATTTGCCATTCCAATGCGTAGGCCAGCAAAAGAATTTTCTCAATGGTGACCTTCAGAAACTTACCCGTCATAGGTCTAAATTCTTCATTATTGGTGATTTTAATGCAAAACACCGCTCATGGAATAATGCTCAAAGCAATTCCAATGGTAATATTCTGTTTGATGATTGTTCTGCAGGTTATTACACTATTCAATATCCAAACAGCCCAACATGCTTTTCTTCTGCAAGAAATCCCTCAACTATTGATTTGGTCTTAACTGATTCATGTCATCTTTGTAGCCAATTGGTTACCCATGCTGACTTCGGTTCTGATCACCTTCCAGTAACTTTTGAAATATCCCAAGAAATAATTTCTAATCCCAACAGCTTTACTTTCAATTACCATAGGGCTGATTGGGAGCAATATCGAACATTTATGGAATATAACTTCGATCCAAACATTCCTTTGCAAACCAAAGATGAAATTAATTATGCTCTTGAATCTCTGACTACTTCTATAGTTGAAGCAAGAGCTGCCTCAGTACCAAAATGTGAGGTTAGATTCGATTCAATTATAATAGACGATGATCTTCAGCTCTTGATCCGTCTTAAAAATGTCCGTAGGAGACAATACCAAAGAACACGCGATCCTGCCATGAAAGTTATCTGGCGGGATTTGCAAAAACAAATTAAAAAGCGATTCTCTGCCCTGAGGAACAAAACTTTTGAAAATAATGTTTCTAAATTAGACCCGAGTTCCAAACCCTTTTGGAAACTCACAAAATTTTTGAAAAAACCTCAAAAGCCAATTCCAGCGCTTAAAGAAGGTGGTAAAATTTTGATCACAAATTTGGAAAAAGCTCAGAAACTTGCTAAGCAATTCGAGAGTTCCCATAATTTCAGTTTGGGTCTTACTAGTCCTATTGAGAATCAGGTTGCTGGGGATTTTCTGAATTTTTTTTCTCTCGGGAAAATATTTTTGATGATTCCTGGGGGACTGATTTGGACGAAGTAAGGTCTATAACTAAAAATGTTCAAAATATGAAAGCTCCAGGTGATGATGGAATTTTCTATATCCTCATCAAAAAACTCCCAGAGAGTACCTTGTCTTTCTTGGTAAAATTATTTAACAGATGTTTCCATTTGGCATACTTTCCTGATAAATGGAAAAATGCAAAAGTTGTTCCAATTTTGAAGCCGGATAAAAATCCAGCTGAAGCTTCTAGCTACCGTCCAATAAGTTTGCTTTCTTCAATAAGTAAACTTTTTGAAAAAATAATTTTGAATAGAATGATGCTTCACATCAATACGAACTCAATTTTTGCAGATGAGCAGTTTGGATTTCGCCATGGGCATTCAACTACTCATCAACTCTTGAGAGTTACTAATATAATTCGTTCAAACAAATCTGAAGGCCACTCAACTGGAGTTGCTCTTCTAGACATAGAAAAAGCATTCGACAGTGTTTGGCATGAAGGTTTGATTGCTAAATTGAAAAAGTTTAATTTTCCACTTTACATTATGAAATTAGTTCAAAATTATTTAACTTACAGAACTCTGCAGGTAAATTATCAAAATTCCAAATCTAATCGACTACCTGTTAGAGCAGGAGTTCTTCAGGGTAGCATTCTTGGGCCTATATTGTATAATATTTTCACTTCGGACCTCCCTGATTTGCCTCAGGGTTGCCACAAATCTTTGTTCGCTGATGACACAGGCATTTCCGCTAAAGGAAGAAGTCTTCGTGTTATTTGCAGCAGACTTCAGAAAAGTTTAGATATTTTCTCTTCTTATTTACAAAAATGGAAGATTTCTCCCAACGCTTCCAAAACTCAACTTATAATATTTCCACATAAGCCTAGAGCTTCGTTTTTGAAACCTAGTAGTAGTCACATAGTCACTATGAACGGAGTTCCAATTTCCTGGTCAAACCAAGTGAAATATCTTGGATTAATACTTGACCAAAAATTAACTTTTAAAGATCACATAGAGGGCATTCAAGCCAAATGTAACAAATAGGGTTACGGTATGTAATGTGGGTCTAGTCCTTTCATTCGGCCTATCACGCAAATAAATAATTAATTAAGGAATATTACACAAAAAATAAGGAAAATATTGATCACTGATGGTTGATAAATGTGTACCACACACAAATCAATTTATATCACAACATTTCAATACATTTTCAGCTCTCGTAAGTAATAAAACTGGTTGAGAATATCACAATGTTCGGAGTTTTTAGCCGCCATGACTTATAAGGTTAAGATGGGAAGGTTGACTGACGATCATCAAATGGCCTGATTATGGCATTTATTGATTGGAATTACCTGATAATACACACTAGACGTAAAACTTACAGTTGCTGTTTGAATATTTTATGTTTATTTTAATTGTTTAACAACGTTTTCACAAGTAAAACATGGACCCAACTTTAGGGACACATTTCTTTTCTATGTTCCTAACTATGGCCCATGAAATTCATTTGACAGCATATAGCAATAAGAGTAACGTCAACAATGTTGTTTTGCATTTGGATGATAAGGAACGAACAGGAAGGGAGATTTTTTCTGCCAAACCTGTATAATGAACATCACAATGTTCTGATTTAGATATTCTGCGGTCAAAAGACGATAAGCGAAATTTTTAATTTTTAATTTTTAAATTGAGTGATTTAATGTAGTTTTCGTAAAATTTTCTCTAAGAAATGTTTTGAGGAATGAAGAGCATTAAGTTAACAGTGATAGTGATAAAAAAAAATACATCAGAAAACGTTACCAAGAGCGTTTTTTTGAGGATCAAACAAGATAGGACGAAGTTGCATCCATAAATAGACCCAATTTGGGGACAATAGACCCATATTACATACATTTCCCTCGTGAGTTATTGTCTTAAAAAAAGTAAGTTTTTCAACTTTTCGTGGTTTCTGATAGCAAACGACATGATAAGCATATCTAAGCATACCATTTAGCAGTAGAATATCGTTTGCAGGTAAATTCATTGATGAGTTATGATTAAAAACGTAATCGATGGCTGCATATTAGACCGAGGTTAGGGACGTATACCCTATATAAAATGTTTGTATCCTCTTATAAACAGGAAATCCAAACTTTGCCTGACGAATAAACTTCTAATATTTAAACAAGTTTTTAGACCGGCCATGCTTTACGCTGTGCCAATATGGTCTAGTTGTTGCACTACCAGGAAAAAAGCACTTCAAAGGATTCAGAACAAAATTCTGAAGATGATTTTGAAGTTGCCTCCCTGGTACAGTACTACCGAAGTACATAGAATTGCGAATGTTGAGACTTTAGCACAAATGTCCAACAAAATAATTAATAATTTCCGGCAAAAATCGTTACAATCCTCAATTGCAACGATTAATTCCCTTTATACTTTTATAAGATTTAGTTTTAGTTATTTAGTTTTAAGCTATCAATTGTTATACTGACATGCAGGTTTAAAAAACCTGTTTAAAATACTGAATTGCCAAGACAGGAACAATGTAAAAACACTTAGATATATATCATAACAATTAAGGCTGGTACGTTACTGCAGTAACTGGAGCACCTAGGTTAAAAATGAAATGTAATTTATTTTGAATTTGGAACAAATAAAGAGTTAAAAAAAAAAGAAAGTTATGGTTTTTTGAAAATTTCACGATTTTTACATTTTCATTAAAAACACATGTTTTTTAATCGTGTATATTTTTTCAAGAATTGCATTTCAATTTTGCACAACTTTCCCAACAAAACATCATAGCAATCAAGCAAGCCGTTTTTGCAATGTATTAAAATGTTTATTTTATAAGCGTTTTTCTACACAAGCTCTATTGGAAAAGTAGTCGGGGTTCGCTATTACAATTTGTAATAGCGAATCCCGACTACTTTTTTATTTTCAAATTTCAACTTAAATCTACAAAATACATTTTTCTGCTCTTTTTTACTTTTTTTTTATTCGGAAACCTTATGTACAGATGATACATAATTTATTTTCATAGTAATACACTAGTAATACACTTACTTTCTATTCTTATTTACATCATTTACATTTACAAATACATCGAATATCTTGGCATCATTATCATTACAGTTTGAGTAACGTTTGGCTTTAATTTTATTGTCTGAAACAGGAATGAAAGAATGAAACTTTTGAGTTCCTAGAATTATTTTTGCATTATTATATTGCTCGTTGAGGTGTGAAGCCATACTTTCGAATTCCTCTGTTGTGGCAAAACTAAATGATAATTTTGTTAATTCTTCTTCTTTTCGATTATTTGCCCAATTATAAAGCTCTCTTTCATTTTTTATTGGATGTTAACGTTCTTTGGCCAAACTTGCTCTAGTATCCATGCGTTTTATTGTACCTCCAATAGCGTCACAAGGACCTTTCCCATGTGATGTTGCAAAGAAATGCCATTTGGTTTCAATTCCATACTTTGATTTAAATTTACAAAGGCTAGCAAAAAATTTCCGGTTCACGGCTCCATTGGACATAAAATAAATCTTGTTGATATTTTTACTTTGGTTAATGCGTAAAAAACTGATCATTTTAGAAATAAATAAGTTAAAAGCCACTGAGTCATGCATTAACTCTTCAGAAATTATAATAAAACTTAAATGTTTAACTTGCATATTTTCTCTAAAATATATAACAAATGGATGCATGGTAGCTTGTTGGACATTCCAGTGATGAGACTGCACCTAATCCTGTAACACAAAGCTGTAGTTTTCGGAAAAATCGCAAGTAACTAAAAATTCACCTTCTTGCAAATTATTTCGTGTAGTTTTCAAAAAATTAGATTGCTGTGTTTTTATGAAATCATGTGGTATCAAACTTGTCAATTTCAAGCAGAAAAATGAAACACACTCGTCTGCAGGCTTTACAATAGTTTCTAAATCACATCTATCCGTGGTAACCCACTGTTCAAATGAAAGCTGATCAATGCATTTTTCCTCTAATTGTTTTAATAAAATGTTTTCTAATGCGGAGAGTCTGGACAATCTTCACAACACCGTAGATAGCAATATGTTGTCTTGTTTTCATAAAGTAAGTGAACGTTTTTACATCATTTAAATGGTTAAGTTTTTTCAAACTGTGTAAAATTAGATTGATGTTTTCATGCGTTGTGCACACGCAAACATTGTGGGTTCCAGAGTTGGTTAAAAGTTTACATTGCTTAGGGCAGAGTTTTGCAAATGAAGACAATCCAATTTTTACATTGCAGTGAATTTCATTCAATCGTTTATAAGCTTCTCTCAAAGTCATCATTAGTAATATGTTTTGAATGGCTTGTCATTTTCCTTCTTTCTGCACAGACACATAATCTTTTTGACCAGGCATTGCCTAGCTTATATCATCATCTTCAAAAAAATGTATGACTGCCCATTTTGTTTCATCACTTAAGGCTGTGCCATATTTTGCGGTTTTTGACGAATGACCTTCCTTTATCAACTTAGCCTCTGTTGCAATATATCTACTAGCATTAAATTGATCCATAACTTTTTGTGTTGTTCATGGTCAAGGCAATAACGATAACAATTAATAATTTTTCACTTCTTGCAGTGGATACATTGGAAAACTTTTCCTTCATGTTTTCTAAAACTTCTTTAAGTTCATTCACTTCGTCAGCCTCAGGCTCGAAGTTGAAAAGATTCTTTCTAATACCTTCGTTGATTTCGCGGTGCTTCTTTTCGGGGTAGTGGATGTAGTTGAGTTTTCCCACGTCTATCGGTGATACCTGGATTCCTGCAATGCCTAGGTTGAATATCTCGATGTTGACTGGTTGAGTGAATTCTTGGTACGATTGAACTGAAGTAACTGATGTCATTGGTGGTACAGTTGTAAGGCTTTCATAGTTCGGTACGACAGGTACTATCACTGTAGTTGGCATCTTTGATCTTCCGGCAACATGCTGTTCCTCGTTTGAGATGATAATAGCTTGTTTATCAACACGAAGACGGCAGGACGTGCAAATGCGAAAACCAGTATTCAATCCTGATGCTTCAGAATATCCAATCGATTTTAATTTCTGGATGGTAATATTCGAAATATTCCTCAGCTCTTTCGAGCACTTGACTTCCTCGAACGGCCGAATGCACCTGATAAAACATGCTCGTTCATTCATGTTGCTTCCTGTATTAAAAAAAATAAAAATAATAATCTTTAAAAATGATTTCATTGAAATACAACTGAAGGTTATGCTTACCTTTTAACCAAATGGTGTTACACTTATTTAGGATAACTTTTTAAGAGGTGTTCGCTTACAGTCCAACCCTGCACCCAACTTAGATGTTCGTGCGTGGTCCTACACCTCGCAAAACCAGCTGTCAAACTCATCGTCCCGCGCTCCCAACATAGAAGAAAAATACCGCTTCCGGAAATCATCAGTTTTTCATTCGTCCGACCGAGCGGTCGACGACACGTTTCTTTCTTGTAAAATATAAGTAAAAATACAGTCCATTTTCGTTTCAATTAGTTCGCCGCGTTTTATTGCGTTCCGCCTGCTCTTTCCGGAAAACATTGGTCCTTCGAGCTGGATATTTACGAAACCGCTATGCAAGCAATTCGGAAACGTCGCGATGTGTTTTTTCAGCGCATGAAATGGGAGCAGAATAACGCTAGTGCGGTCGAAAGAAGAAACCTTCCTTTCGGCGAGATTCAGGAGCGATTGAACAGACTCACTGAACTTTGTGAGCGCAAATCGAGACATCCGGGAACACCTGCAATCATCCGAAATCAACCAAGCTGTGAATCAGTACCTATCGAACCTGAAGGTGAAATGGACGTTCATCACTCCATCAGCCCCCCACATGGGAGGAATTTGGGAAGCGGCGGTGAAGAGTATGAAGAAGCATCTGCGAGCGGTGCTAGGGAACACGAGTCTGACATACGAGGATCTTTCAACCGTCTTGACGCAAATTGAGGCGTGTTTGAATTCGCGTCTTTTGTGCCAGCTTTCAACATCGACCGACTCCTGCGAGGCCCTCACCCCAGGGCACTTCCTCATCAATTAGCCACTCAACCTGCTGCCAGAACCAGATGTCAGCCACCTCCAGGAGGGCCGTCTGGACAGATGGCAACGTATTAACGTGAACGAGATATGGGCGCGTTGGAGGAACGAATATGTTGCCACACTACAACTTCGGAACAAGTGGCAAGCAGTACAGCAGAATATGGATCCGGGACAACTGGTGCTAACCAAGAACGATAACTCGCCACCTGCGACATGGGAACTTGCACGGATTGTCGCTACCCATCCAGATCAGTATGGAGTTGTTCGCACCGTCACTGTACGTCGTGGAGATAAGGAGTACCAAAGAGCGGTGCACAAGCTTGTTCCGCTCCCAATGGATTGAGGCATCCGTCTCAAGGGCCGGGAGGATGTTCGCGTGCAGTCCAACCCTGCGCCCAACTTAGATGTTCGTGCGTGGTCCTACACCTCGCAAAACCAGCTGTCAAACTCGCGCTCATCCCGCGCTCCCAACATAGAAGAAAAATACCGTTTCCGGAAATCATCAGTTTTTCATTCGTCCAACCGAGCGGTCGACAACACGTTTCTTTCTTGTAAAATATAAGTAAAAATACAGTCCATTTTCGTTTCAATTAGTTCGTCGCGTTTTATTGCGTTCCGCCTGCTCTCTCCCGAAAACAAGATGTATGCGGTAAAAAGCAATCTTTGTGATCAACTGCTTGTTTTCACCATTCAAACTCATTTAAGTATCAGATCGATAAGTACAATTTGAATGGAATTGCTCCTTCAGTAAGGGTCGCTAGTTTGAACATCATATCACTTTATTTAGTTCTAGCTCAATATTCATCAAATGATTTTTTTAGTTTTGTTAGTAACGATACCTTTTCATGGTATCAGATGTAATGAATCCTTACATTTCAATAGGGCCTGTGTAGAAAAACACTAATGAAATAAACATACCTATATTGCAAAAACGGTTTTTTATGTGTTTTTAATGAAAATGTAAAAATCGTGAAATTTTCAAAAAATCATAACTTTTTTGTTTTTGAGTTCACCATTACAAAAACATTATGAGCTTCATGAGGCTTAAAACGAAATGAACTTTTTGAGAAATATATTATTTTTTTTTCATTGAAACAAACGGAATTTTCTACAGTATATATTTTTAACATTATTGCCAAAATAATATCTACAACTTTGCTGAAGACACCAAATCAATCCAACAAACCGTTTCAGCAATATATATTTTTTAACTCATTAGTACTATTTTTACACAGGCCCTGTTAGAAAAGTAGTCGTAATTCAATTTAAAGAACTGATAACACAAATTGGCATCTTTACTAAAAAAGAACAACTGTGCAAATTTTCATCCAAATCGGAGCCGACAAATTAAAAAAAAAATCAAAAAATTCGTCAATCTGTAGAGAATTGCTCTGCTGCTGTTGCCGCTGATTTGGCTGCCGCTTCCACAGCTGTGCAAGTGTCCGAAGGTGTGTCCAAATGTGATGAAGTGGTATTTTTCATTTCCGTACTTAATGTCAGTTAGCATTTTTTCTATATGCTCAAGCGCATCGTCGTGGGTCGCACTGAGACTTTTGAAATTGTGTTGCAGTTTGTGGTTCCCTTCTAGTGAATTTCCAATGTTTTCCGAGATGCCATTTAGTGATTTAGTCAGTGCCTTCAGGTTAAATTCAGTTATGAACTGATCCTGACATATCGGATAGTACTTTGTACCTTAGTACTCAGCATAATTCTGGTGTTCTGGCGCATAACTATATATTATGTCACGCTCTAAGGCCTAAGATTTTGTGACAACCAATGCATTAGGTATAGGAAAAAGTAACAATAAGGGAGGGTGGGGGGTGGGTTATTTTTTTCACAATTTAGCAGCGTGACATAATACATGGGCCATAAGTAGCAAATACAATATATATAGTACATAGGACCGAAATCATAGGTTACTTCTACTGTATTTTAAATCAATATCTAGAAAAATGCTCAAGAATTTCACTACACAGCTTAATGTAGTCTACGTCAACCATCTGGTCGTGTCTTGTACACAACCCCACCTCATTTTTCTTCTGTGTAGAATACTCACTCTGCAGAATAAATTTAAGCCTTTACATTCTAGAACATAACTATGCATGTTTTTAGGTGCTGAACGCTGCATATAGTACATACAGACCTGACGAAATATTCCTTTCTTTCAATGGAGGAAAGGATTGTACGGTTCTACTGGATATCATCATGAAACTGTTGCCAACCATAGTATCAAGCGGTGATCTAAAATGTGTTTACATGCAACCTAAAGAACCTTTCGAAGAAGTCGAAGAATTCATTGACCACTGTAGGCGATACTACAATATTAAAATTAGGTCTATGAGAGGAGATATTAGAACGATTCTTAATAAAATTTGCGAGGAAGATCATAAAATCAAAGCGTGTCTTATGGGTTCTCGACAAACTGATCCTTACTGCGAAAATTTGAAATCAATGCAGGTATTAATTAGCAAAATATGAATGTTAGTCTTGATTTTTATTCTTTTTAATACATACATACATTTATAGGAGACTGATCCCGGTTGGCCAAAAATGATGCGAATAAATCCGATGTTGAATTGGAGTTGCTCGGATATCTGGGAGTACATACAGAAAAATGATGTCCCTTACTGCAGTTTGTACGATCGTGGGTAAGTGAGGAAGAGTTTTTGTTTTCTTTTTTGGCAGAAGCGCAACACCCAACTGAAATTCCACAGGTTTTATTGAAATAAGCCTGTACCTATCATTCCATGTGTTGATCATGTGAAAAAAAAATCACAGATTTTCGCCAAAAATGGAAAAAAATACTGTTAAAAACTTAATAACAGAAAACCTAAATTTTTAAGATTTTAAAACTTATGTTTATTTAAAAGCTTATCTCATTCTGTGAGTGGCGGCAAAGAAAAACGGCGCGTGTTTGCGGACGGTCCGATTAACCGTGAAAAATCCATATCAAATGGAATCGAATCCGGTCGGAACCACGGTGTAGTGGAAAGTTTTGAAATTAACCGGGAAAGTCCTCGGGGAGGTCAGTTCACTAGTATGGCGTCTTCGCAGTCGTTTGGCTGTTGATGTTTGTGCGCGACCGTCGTCGACAGATAGTCGGCACCAATACCATCGTTCCGGGTCGGTTCGGGAGATTAGGTAAGGTAAGATTAGGTAAGGTTAGGGTTAGGTTTTCGTTGTAGGCTTTATGGTTTCTTCGTAATTATTGATTTAAAACAGCCATAAAAACTTGTGACGTTTTCATAAAATGCGCTATAGTCACCCTATTCGTTCGTACGTTAGCGTCCGATTAGGGGATAGTAAGAGATTAAAAGAATAAAGAAGAGAGATAGAGGATTTTGTAATTTTGCTTGAAAGAAATAAAAAGAACCAAAAAAACACGCCGGCTTGTTGTGCAACATCAGGTTTGTTCGCTTTCATTTACGTTCCAAGGAGCAACGTCCATCGTCGTCGTACTCAAATACCTGGGAACCTCCAGAGGTGCACAGGGCCAACGTGAAAGACTTCCATTCTGGGCAGCTGCTTGACCTGGGCCCAGGTCAAATTCCTATCGGCTTGCTTAATTTACTTGTTGACGCTCCGCCGGCTTAGTATTTGCCTTTGCTGCGATGTTCTGGTGGATTTAATTCATAATAAAACGCTTGCCTGCAGACTTCGTTTCTATTGCTATCGGCTTCTGATGATATTGACATCTGAGATCCAGGTGTACCAGGTGTACGCGGCTCTGTGTTTTCGTTACCAATGCAGTTAATTTCGTTTGTTGCATTTCCGTATGTCTCACTCGTTCATTGTGTTATGGAAAGAAATAAAGTTAAGGTTAGATACTATTAGTGGACATGTTTTGTAACCCATTTATTGTGTCTGTTTACTTGTTTATTTGTTGTTCGCTATTAGAGAGAGGATGAGACAGCATATGGAAAAGGAATTTATTAGACTAGAAGACATCAAGACAATCTAACAAAAGTTGCTACGAGTGGTGAAATGGAATCGGATGTGGAAGAAGAATCCATTAGACTAAAAGATATCAAAGTATAACAGGGCTAATATTTCTTGCAACGTTGCAACAAGTGGTAAAAAGTATTGACTTGTTAGTGTGAAAATAACTAAGGGTGGCAGTGATGACACATTGAATGAGGCACCACTAACAGGTGTGGATAGTCGTTAGCTTCGGGGTCTTGTTAGTGTTAGAGTGATGTTAGTATACACCCGTAGTGAGCGCTGCCGCTCCCCCGACCTCAGAGGCAGGCAGTTGTTGTTAGTTCATGCGACACTATTGCTGCAACCAGGTCGGAGGTGTGACCCACCTAGAATCTTAAAAGGACTAAAAACATATTTCACAATATTTGTATATGAATTACATATTATACATGCTGAACCACCGTCAAACCCACTATTCAGAGGCAGCGATCGTGCTAAAAATTTGGAGGTGCACATTTATCTGAAAATTTCTGGTGGAAAGTTCGCAACACTGTGGTGAATGTAATAGCAAGATTTATTAATTTTTCTGGTGTATAATTTGCATCGTTCTGATGAATGCAAGCTTCATTGAAAATGTATGGTGGAAAATTTGCACCATTTTGGTGCATGAAGAGGCAAAGCCTGAAGGTGCATGGTGAAACAAACTTCACTGACCATTTTTGGTGCACCGTTCTGGGGAATGGAGGAGCATGCTCTATTGAAAATTTCTGGTGCAACATTAGCATCGCTTTGATCAATGAAATGAACAGAAAATTTCTGGTGGAAAACTTGCACTAGTCTGGTAAATGAAGACACAAGCTTTATTTAAAATTAAGCTAAATTGAAAATTTCTGGTGGAAAATCTGGACCGTTCTGGTGAACGAACGGGCAAGCTTTTCGGATTTTTTTGGTTTTAAATTTGCATTCTTCTGCTGAATAGAGAAACAAATTAAAAAAAAAATCTGGTGTAACATATGCACCATTCTGATGATTGGAGGGAAGCTGCTTTACTGAAATTTTATTTTTATAATTGAAAATAGGGGCAAACTTTATTTGGTGGAAAACCTGCAACATTCTGATGATAGGAGAAGCCAGCTATATTGAAAATGTTTGGTGGAAAATGGAAAAAGGAAATCTGCACCAATCAGAAGTTTGGAGAAGCAATTTTTATTGAACTTTAACGGTGGAAAATTTGCTTCGTTCTCTGGTCAATTGAAATTTTCTGGTGTAAAATTTTCTGGTGGCAAGTTTGTATTGAAAATTTCTGGTGTAAAAATTGCACAGTTCTGGTGAATGGAGGGGCAAGCTTTATTGGACATTTCTGGTAGAAAAACTACGACGTTTTGGTGAATTAACGGACAACTTAAATTTGACTTCCGAGAAGAGCCTCAAGGGTATTGAAGTCGGAGGACAGTTCCAAAAGAAAAGATTTCTGGGGATGATGATGAAAATTCTGCGAATAATTTCTAGTGAATCCTGCTAATGTCCCAAGATAATGCCAAGATAATGTCGAAAAGAATACTGAGAGAATCAAATTTTTAATGAAATTCCAAAGGGATGTTGAGGAAAATTTCAAAGGAATTCCGAGGATAATTTCAAGCTCATTCTGGGAAGAATTTCTGGAGAAGGCAGAGGAAATTCTTCTGAAAGTTTAGGGGAATTTCAGTTTCAAGGTGTTCTGAGCAGGGTTGCTTCCACTCACTTGCTATAAAAAAAAATATTTTCTGAATATTGAAATCATTCGATGTTATAATGATATTTTATACATGTTAGATACAAGAAGCGGATGAAACGCAAGTGTTTGACTCATAAAACCTGTCAATTTCACTACCAGAGTGTTACAATAAGCGATTTTATGATTCGTGAGCGTTCACTCAGAGTGAGCGCTCGCGAGTCGTAAAATCGCTGATTATGACTATCTGAAAGCGAATTTGACAGGTTTCATGTGTCAAACACTTGCCTTTCAACCGCTTCTTGTATCTAACAAGTACAAAATATGATTATAACATCTAATGATTTCAAAATTCAGAAAATCATGTTTTATAGCAAGTGAGTGGAAGCAAGCCTGGTTCTGAGAAGAAAAAAAATCTAAAATATTCAGAGAAGAACCTCAAGGATATTGAATTCTAAGGACAGTTCCAAAATATTACTGGGAAGAATTCAAAGAAAATTCTACGGATAATTTCTAGTGCATCATGCATATAGTTCCAAGATAATTTCGAAAAGAATACCGAGAAAATCAAATTTTAAATGAAATTCCAAAGGGATTTTAAGCTAAATTTCAAACGAATTCCGACGATAATTTCTAGCCTATTCCGGGAAAAAATTCTGAAACTCTAAAGGAATTTGAGTTCCAAAGTGTTCTGAGAAAAAATCATGAAGAGTTCTAAGCGTAATTCCAGTGGACTTCTGAGAAGAATTTCAAAAGAGCTCATAGAGTTCTAAAAATTTCGAAAAGAACCTAAGGGAATTCTGCAACGGTAAAAGTGAAGTGTAACTACAACAGCATATAATACTCCGTACAGACTATGGCTTACATTATGTAATATAGACTGTCTTGCAATGAGCACTCATACATAGGATTTCCAGTGAAAACTATATGTATGAGTGCTCATTACAAGGCAGCCTATATTACATGATATAAGCCATAGTCTGTTCGGGGTATAAGGGCTTACAAAACCTTGAAAAAATTAAAAATAAACTGTAACCACAGACAAACAGACATAACACATTGAGTATTTCTCACTGTAAAACATCGTCGTTAAAACATTACCGCCATCTGTTCAGTACACTGTGGTGGGCACTACGCTGAACAGATGGCGGTAGTGTTTAAACGTCAAACGCAAGGGAATTGATTATGCGCGCCACAAGTGGCGGTACTACCAACTACGATACTTTTAAATTGTCCGTTAAATGCTTGTTCGATGAACAACTTGCGAGTGTTATGTCTGTTTGTCTGTGCTGTAACGATACCTTCAAAATATACAAAAACGTACTGCACAAAATTTCATAAAGATAACTGCATAAAAGATGATACCAGTACCTTGAAGAATATATTTTCTTTGGTTTATATTTTAAACCTGTAAAGAAGGGCATGCCGCAAAACATTATTACAACGATTCCTACAGGGTTCAGAAATTGAAAGAAAGCGACGTTTGGAAAGCGGACAAAAAAACGCATTCGTACGAAAATGGGAATAGCAACATCGTTCGAACGAACGATGTTCGAAAGTTAGAATTGCTTCGAACGAAAACGGGAATGGGAAATTGCTTTCGTTTCGAACGAATCCGGTTCGTACGAAAACGGGAATAGAGGTGAATAATAAAGATAAATCAATCAATCAACCCCGAACACGTCGTTAAGCAAATTAACATTTTTATTAGGGATTACAAAAAATTTCAAAGTTTTTATCCCCTGGCTGTCTCGCGATTCGCGAGTTTGGAGTGACGTTTGGAAAGCGGACAAAAAAACGCATTCGTACGAAAATGGGAATAGCAACATCGTTCGAACGAACGATGTTCGAAAGTTAGAATTGCTTCGAACGAAAACGGGAATGGGAAATTGCTTTCGTTTCGAACGAATCCGGTTCGTACGAAAACGGGAATAGAGGTGTATTATATTTTTATTGCATGATTTTTCAATCAATTTATATGAGAGCTTTAACTTCACGTTATTTTAAGTAAAATTA